TCGCGTCTGCTGCTTTCTTTTTGCTGCTTGTGCCGGCTTCTGGCGGCTGGGGCGGCCTTGCTGCTCTGGCTTTGTTTTGCCTTGCAGCTGTGTTTGCTGTGGTGGCGGAGTGGTTTCGTTGTGTTTTTGGGTGGGGGAATCCGCCTGGGGGCTTGGTTGGTGCCGTCGGTTCGTCCATATCGGCCTTCCGGTGTTGTTTCTGTTGGGGCCGCTCGGGCCCCCGCATGCCGGCGGTGCGCTGCCGGAGGGGTTCCTGTTCGGCTGGCTTGCTTGTCTCCTGGGGGGCAGGCATGTTGACTTTTCTGGGAAGGAGCATCTGGGTGGAGGGGTCCTCGCGGTGTGGCGGTGGTTGTTTGGCACTGGCTTGTTTGCGGCCGTTCTTCTTCAGTGAGGGGGAGATTACAATTTTTTCTTTTTGTCGTTTTATGTGTGGGAGGGGGGTGTGGGCGGGGAAGTCGGAGCTTGGAGTGGAGCTCGGGATTTGCGCTTTGCTGTGTTGTGTGGCTTTCTTCTTCTTTGGATTGGTGTTGTGGGACCGGTGTCGGGGGGGAGTCGTTCGGGGGCCAGTGTCAGGGTGGGGGTGCTTGCGCCAGCGCCGGGGGTTTTTGGGCATTGCCCGGCCCTACTGTGGGGTGGGTCTGGGGTGGGTCCTGGGGTCTGGGATCCCTGGGGAGCGTTGCCGTTGGGCAGGGGCCCCGGTCGGGTTTTGGGGGTTCGGGTTCTGTGGGGAGTGCTGCTTGGGGTCTGGGCCGGTGTACGCACGGCTGTCTGCCCCTGCTGCCACGGCCTCTGGTGTGCCGGGGTGCCTCGGGGCCTGTTGGGCTGGGGGGGGGCATGGACATTAACACCTATGGCAAATGCTTACCCCCTCACGGGTTTGCACTCTGTAAGTGGGGGAAGGGGAGGGAGGGGGAGTAGGTATGATCTCGGCCTGGATGTCTTCTGTCGCTTGTGTGGTGAGTAGCTTGATTGTTATTGTAGGGGAGGGATTACATCTCCGGAGGGGGGGTGGGGGGTGGTGATAGAGGGAAGAAGATCTTTGAAGGGCTTTGGGTCTGGCTCCCTGTCTTGGTCCTGGTCCGTGCTGCCCCCTGGTGGGGCTTCGTCCGGGGTGGGGGCTCTGCGTGTTGCGCGTTGGCTGGCCGGCTGGGGTCGTCCCTCCCCTTATTCATTTATTTATTTATTATTATTATTTTTTTTCTTATCTTCCTTTTATATTTTTTTTATTTATTTTTTATTATTTT